CTACCTACTTACCTACCTACCTACCTACCTAAACTACCTACCTACCTACCTACATTTATAGAACACTTTATATAGTCAAGTTTTCAACAGTTTTAGTAACCTCCTCTTTCGGGAGGAGAGTCAAAACTTCTCCAAATCGTTGCCAACTGCAACAGCACTAAAAGCCACTCTTGAGAGCCTGGCGGAAGCATCAGGACAACCCTCCCCCACCGGTTCAATCCACCTAAGACGTACTTGTTACCCTTTTCAAAAGGGAGGTCACCCACTGGAACGATGTCGAATCTCCCATGAGATAAACCATTTTCTTCTTTAGGCAGGTTTGGATTTTCGCCAGGGTGCTAAAATCAGTCACTGAGCAAAATCCTGGATGCCAAACATTATGAAGAACGTAGCCACTCGGCACGGGCGAGGCCATCCCAACCCGACATGTCTCCTTGGCCGTCTTGGTTCCTGACAGAAGAAGGCACACAATTCTAATCCCGGACTTTTAAGAGTTAAGCCTTCTGGGTACCCCCAGGGACAGATTGCTTAGCTTTCTTTTTTTTGCCACCATTGATTTTTTCCCCCCAAGTTCTTTCCACGCCCCTTTCTCAGAAAGCTGTGCATGTTGGTGAACTGGCATAATAAAAACAGGCTGAGACCAAATCCTCACACATTCTTAACACCACACTCCCCTGTACGGCCCGTGCTCCACAAGAGAGCTTTGTAAATGCCACGCTAAACACCATAAAGCCAGAATCCTATTAGTCAGTTATGCTGGCGTCAAGGCAGGAGAGAAAAATCACAGCAACTCAATGGCTACTGGCTAACAAGATGCTGTTTTTGTACGCCTCCTCACATGCCAACTCACACAACTGGTGCACAGTCGGACAGAACAAGTGGGAACTTTATAACTAGCAGCCGTTTGCCCTGCAAGTCACACAAAAACACTTGCACTGGTGTAACTCATTTATGAAATTCTGTGCAAAAAAGAGAGACGGTCATGCCATCTCTCGAACTACCCTTGTTAGATAGACCATCCCACTAAGAGTGCGTACCCCAACCCCATAAAGAGCCCAAATTCTCACAAGAAACAGGAAGTTCAACGCACCATTACAGGGTACGACATGAATGTCCTTGAATGGCCAAGGAATCTCAACTCCAAGGTTTGGCCTGCAAGAGAAGAGGTGTTGGCATTAGGAAACAGCCCATTAGATCAGGCCGATCCTTAAGATTAGAACTCGGGGGGGAAAGTTACTCTTTTGGAGACAAAGACTTTCAGAATCCCACGCCAGCCCAGGGGAGCCTGGGAGTTGGGGTCTTGGCCAGTGGCTTTCCCAAGCTTGGACCAAGCGCCAGGCTGATTCCGTGGAGAATCTCACCCTGGAATGTGTAGCTGAATGCATGGCTGACCAGTGAAAATTCCTGGACCGGATGGCATGAAAGGGGCCTATCGAGTGTGACGGCAAGGATAGGCAAAAAGGCATCACCAGGGTCAGATTTTACTCCCTAATACTAATTGTAAAGATCCTTGTTAATGCTCATCAACTCCAGGAGATTAATCTGGATTTCTGATTGCCCAAAGGCTTTGAGGAAGAATTGCATGGATCAATACCATTTGGAAATGGGACATTCACAGATAGAAAGAAAAGCTAAACACCTTCTTAAAAGGCTCTGTTCCATGCCTGTGAGATACGAGATGGGTGTGTTGTGGGTCTTCAGCTGAACAAAAGCTTCACAAGGTACGTTCTTGGGTTTCACGCAGTAGAAGGCCTCCTGGTCTCTCTCGTCCAGATAAGCGCACAGTTCCTGCTTTCGGTTCAGCTTGAAACCACATTCAGTGTTGACGGCTGAAGTTCCGTTTAAAAATTTACCTGTGAAAGCTATTTTGTCGTAGCCTTTCTTCCTCGCTCTCCAAAGAGCAGAAACAGCTTCACTGGGGTGGATGAGCAAGAGGGAAATGCTGACGTTCCCCTCCCAGAATAAAGTGAAATCGACCAGATACGTCCCGTTCCGGTGGTCCTGGACAAGTCCAGAGGCGCCAGCCTCGAGGTTCTGTGAGTAGATCCTCGCTCGTAGGAAATCTCCGCCATGCTCCTTCCTCTTCCCCACATGGTCGTAGAGATCCAGACGAACCGCCAAGTGGTCTCCCACACAGTAAGTGTCCTGGCGGTTTACGATGGTGGCTTGGCTGTTCTTGGCACTTGTGACAGTCTTTATATCCCTGAACGTAATGTTGGGGATCATCTCATCCAGTTCTTGAAGGATATTTTCAATCTCTTTCTCCTTTTTTGACCACTCCATCTCAAGATGATACAGAATGCCATCTTTCGTTGGCCGTACTGAGCTACTGACACCTAGGGCGGAATGAATTTCAGGGTTTAACATTCTATTGCATTAAATAGGAAGTTGTGTCCGAAGACATTCGCCCTCCACGTCCAATTAGACAAGGACTACCTAGTTGGACAGCCACTTTCTGGAGTCCTCGGCTGACCTTTTAAGCGGAAATACCAGGAAGAGCTTTTTCTTCCCATCAACGTTTATCATACGGAATTCATGTCATTCAAAACAAAACCTGGATAAAACTCAAAACTAATTTTGAGTAGCAGGAAGTTCAGTACACACGGTACTTTCTTTAAGTACAGTAATAAATATTCTTCAAGAAAAGAAGAGCAGAAACAAGAAGCAACACAATGTTGTTTCTCGTGGGCTGCTACGTCCAAACCAAGATTGCCGTGTGATAGCCGGCCTCCAGTAAGAGGGGAATAATATGATAAGAAAGAAGTATT